AGACACACAGATAGAAAAGGGAAGAGTATTTTAGTAGCTTTTTCAGATAATTTTGGATATTCTTCTTCTTTGAGACTACACCAAAATTCAACAAGAGGCAGTTTCTTAAATGTCATTTCCAATGACCATATCACTGAACTTTTCATATATGTTACATTAAGATCTACCGGTCTCTCTTAGTATTTTGAATAAATCTTTATCCATGCATGGCTTTGTAACATCATGCATTGGTCATTTGAACAATTCGTTCAAATGAATTATGCAGGTTTTTTTTCCAACTGTTGACCAATTTTACTATTGAACATTTTAAAAATCACATTTATTGTATCACTAGTAGTCTCATCAGAAAAGCTGTTAATTATTGTGATGCTGTCAAGCTCACAGTGACAGATCCAAATTTTCCAAAATTCTAATTTTCACATGAAAGCTCAGAACTACAGTTTGTCTCTAATTACTCTTTGAAGTAACTGGTGCTGCATGAAAACAGCAAATAGCTCAGCTTATAACTCAACCACACAAGTGCTTTTTGTCAAGACACCAGAATACCTTGGTACGCAGCAGAAGTACTTTACGCATAACTTCCCATTTTGTCACACCAAATATAAAAAACACTTTATACAAGGGTCAATATTTGATAAAATTAATAATTGTTACGGTTAATCAAGGAAATTTTTGTTATACTGACATTTTTTGTTTTACTGTGAATGTGTGGCAGGAAAAAATATAATGACTACTAGTATAGTTAGGAGCCACTGCCTTCATTAGTGTTAAAACACCAGCAGTTTTACCCACCACTGCTTTTCTACCACGCGTGCAAATATCAACATGGTGAAAAGGCAAATAACATCTTAGTTTTACTTTCAAAATACTTTGACCTTGCAAACTACCTGAAAGGTATAAAAAGATCAGAAGTATGAAAAAAAAGCTAAAAATTCTATGTTTAGATACTTTTATAAAATGGAAGCCACCTTTTAAGCATTGTAACTAGCTGGATTTTAATCTTTAAACTTTAAGCCTCAAATCTAACATACTGTGATCTTTTTTTTTCCTAAGCTAAGATGAACTACCTGAACTAATGCCACATTCTGTAAAGGTTTTCATTCGTGGTCATTTGCATTGTGAATTTTTCAAGTATATCTGTGAAAATGAAATTTGAGGGAAAGATTACTATACTATTCTCTTTTAGTCTAACATACTAAAGTAATATTCAGGTTTTGAGAAATGATACAGATATTTTCAGGTAGACACTCTCATATCCACATTTAACATCTGCTGATGCTTATTCATATCCTATTATTAGATATCAGTATTTCATAGAAGAAACAGAATTGCAGCTATGAAACATACTTTCAAAAACACAATACCTGGCTCATCCATGTAGTAGTAGATGTCAACATCATTTGACTGCATGACCACAAAACCTTCTCCCATTAATCTTGGTGGTCTGTAAGAAGATGGGGGGAAAGCAAATTAAACACATCTCCAGAATATAAAATGTTCCATATCCTAGTTAATAGAATAGGTGAAAACAAAAAGGAAAGAAACTAAAAAAGCACATCATAAGTAGCATCTTGAAAAGGGAAAAAACATCTTTCACATAAATAATCATCTTACAAATTGTTTCATAGGGATATAGTATAATATATTATACTAACAAAATTGTACTAAAAATTGATCATTAAATTAGTTCAGGAAGAAAAATAATTTTGGTTTTATATTTTTCATTTTCAGTGCTAAGCAAGAGAAATCAATTTATTTTTTTCTCTTTAAA